GTGCTGTGATCCGTGCAAGACTCGTGTCCGCGTGTGAGGGTGGGGACCGGCTGTGCCGAGACGTGTGTTCGTGCTGAGGTCCCGCGCGTGCTACGCACCAGCCCAGAGGCTGCGGGTGTTGTGTAGCGTGCGGTGTGCAGCTGGGGGGGGGCGTGCATGCACGCTGTCCGGGCGGCCCGGAGCAAGTTGTGAGCTGTGCACCACATCTGCGCGGCGCGTGGATTGTGCGGGTTGCTGAGGCTGGGGGGGATGTGGGCACCCCGGGTTGTGCTGAGGCCTGTGTGCCATGGCAGCTGCTGCAAAGGGCTTTAGGCACCCGGTGGCATGTCCACACACACACACGATAGTACCCGCTAGTAGACACAGCTAGGGCACCCACCCAGCGCGTGGGGTGCACCCCGGCTCGATATCATGGTCCTCATTTGGCAGAAGGGGAAACTGAGGCAGAGGAGGACCCGAGCACTGCGGCAGGTCACGGGGCCGAGCTAGTGCCCGGCTTGGCTCTAACCACTGAGCCCCCTGCCCCTTCCTTAATGCCCGCCCACCCTCGGCTTCAGGGGCCCGCAGTCCAGGGAGGCTCCTCCGCAGGGGAGGCGGCGGCTGCCCTGTAACTGCGGGGCCGGGGCAGGACCCCCCCGGGCGTGCTCCGGACAGCGGGCTGGGCCCTGGGGCCTGAGCCAGGCTGCCGCCCACCGCCCCACTCCGGGGGGGAGCATGTGTGTGTCTGTGTGTGCACAAGTGCTTGTGTGTGCATGTGTGCGTCCACGTGCACGTCTGTCTTTGTGCGTGTATGCACTTGTGTCTGTGCGTGCATGTGTGTATGAGTGCGTGTGTCTGCCTATGTGTTGTGTGTGCATCCATGTGTGTGTGTGTGTTCTGTGCGTGTGTGTATGCACACGCATGTCTGTGGGTGCGAGTGTGTGAATGAGTGCGTGTGTGTGCGCGCGCCTGAGTGCTGGTGCGTCTGCCTGTGTGTGTCTAAGTGCGCATGTCTGGCCGTGTGTGTGCGCGCATGTTTCTGTCGTGTACACATATGTGCGCATCGCTGTGTCGTCGTGTGCACGTGCGCGCGCATCGCTGTGTCGTCGTGTGCACGGGCATCTCTGTGTTGTGTGCACATGTGCGCGCGCATCTGTGTTGTGTGCACGTGCGCGCGCATCTCTGTGTCGTCGTGTGCACGTGCGCGCGCATCTGTGTCGTCGTGTGCACATGTGTCGGCGCGCGCCTGGCTGTGTTGTCGTGTGCACGTGCGTGCGCATCTCTGTGTCGTCGTGTGCACGTGCGCGCGCATCTGTGTCGTCGTGTGCACGTGTGTCGGCGCGCGCCTGGCTGTGTTGTGTGCACGTGCGCGCGCATCTGTGTTGTCGTGTGCACGTGCGCGCGCATCTGTGTCGTCGTGTGCACGCGTGTCGGCGCGCGCCTGGCTGTGTTGTGTGCACGTGCGCGCGCATCTGTGTCGTCGTGTGCACGTGCGCGTATCTCTGTGTCGTCGTGTGCCCGCGTGTCGGCGCGCGCCTGGCTGTGTTGTCGTGTGCACGTGCGCGCGCATCTGTGTGGTCGTGTGCACGCGTGTGTGTGCATGTGTGTGTTGTGGTGCGGACGCGTGTCGGCGCGGCGGTGCGCGTGCGCACAGGTGCGGGCGCGGGCGGAGCGGGGCGGCCGCGGC